AGAGATTTGCAAGCAGGTTAGAGAGCTAGCCATGATGAAGATAACCATTGGGAGTTTAGAAATGGTGTCAGCAGCTTCTGCCTCTGCTACCTGGGCATCCTACAAACGGTATTGGGTCAGAGACACAGAAGGGAAGTGTGTAGGCCTCACTACTGTGCCATTATGTGCTGTTGATGGCATCCTAATGGACAAACTTCATGTTGAATGTATCCTGGACAGCAGATGTCAGGTAGTGGCCTTGTGATGGGAGTTGTGGGAAGCCTTAGAGGCCCCCCTCCATACTGACATGACTATGACTCTGGAGGCTGCTAACCAATCCAAAGAAAGCACCCTTGGGGTCATAGAGAATGCCACCTTGCACATAGGAAATGTCAAGGCCCATCTACAAATCCAAGTTGTTGATCATGCACCTTTCAACTTACTGCTTGGTTGACCCTTCTTCTGCCTACTCTCCAGCATCCTCTGTGATTTCCCTGATGGAGAACAGTCTCTAGAAATCTGTGACCCTAATTCTGGGAAACAAGTTTTAATCCTGACATGACCTTGCAACAGACTGCATCCCCTTCCATGTTTTGTAAATTCCAAAGATGAAGAAGACTCCTTCACATGAAAACAAATGCATTACCATATGAAACAGCCTGAGCAGGGTTTTTAGTGTCAGTCAATGACTCATTTGGATGATGAGGAGGCCACAATAATCTTTTCTCTGTGTGTTCTCTCTGTGTTTCTGATCCTCCTTTATTACCTTTGAAGACTACTACCCTTTTGCCTACAGACACTTTCAAAAATTCTGCTGTGGCATTTATCTATGATTTACAAAGCAACAGTATACCCCCCATCGATCCCTTTGATACTAGTTCTGTCTCTCCAACTGACCCTTTCTTATTTTCGACTGCTACTACCATTTCTCCACTGACAATCTCTGCATTATGCTCTACTTATCAGTTTGATCCTGTTTATCATGTCTTAAAGTACAAACCTGTAGCAAGGAAGGTGAGGCTGGTACCAATGTCAATGCCAGCAGAATTCCAGGTAGAGTGTCAGGAGGCTGAAGACCCACTTGCAGATCTGCCTGTTTTACCTACTCATCCCCCACCATTTGTGCCAGGTTCCAGGTTTACTCAGGAAAGAGCTGACAAGCTCAATCTGGACCCAGTAAGGTTCCTTTGGCCTACAGAATTAGACCTAGTATGATGGCTGGTCAAGACACACAAGGCCACCTTCGCTTGGGACACTTCAGAAAGAGGGACCTTTTGAGAGGACATGTTCACACCCCTGAAGATACCTATGCTAGCCCACAAACCCTGGGTTGAGTGAAATATTCCCATTCCCCCTGCTATTTTCTGTGAAGTCATTAACATCATCAAAGAAAAGATTTCTGCAGGTGTTTATGAACCATCTACCTCATCCTATTGCTCAAAATGGTTCTGTGTAGTCAAGAAGGATGGGAAATCTCTGTGCCTCATCCATGACTTACAACCTCTAAATGCTGTTTCTATCCAGGACTCAGCCATTCCCCCCTTCATTGATTTGATTGCTGAAGCCTTCACTTGCCATTCTGTCTACAGAATTTTGGATCTTATGGTCAGATACGATCATTGCATGATGATTACCATGACCTCACTACCTTCCAAACTCCTATCAGTACTCTATGACTCAATAAGTTACCTATGGGCTACATGAATGCCATCCAGATTTTCCATGGAGATGTCTGTTGGATATTGAAGGATGAAATCCCCAAAGTAACCATCCCTTTCATTGATGATTGCCCAATCAAGGGTCCAAAATCCCATCACCAAAATTCCAACAGTTCCTACCAGATGATCCCACAAAATTCTGGGATCAGATGCTTCATCTGGGAGCACCTACAGAACATCAACTGTGTCTTACACTGTCTATGCCATGCAGGAGCTACCATCTCAGCAAAGAAATGCATCATCATTGCACCATCTATCATAGTGGTTGGGCATAAGGTGTTGTTTGAAGGGAGAATTCTGGACAAAGCTAAAGTCCAAAAGATTAAAGACTGGTCCTACTGCACAAACATTACTGAAGTATGTGGATTTTTAGGTCTCTGCTCATATTGCAGGATCTTTATCAAAAACTTCACTAAACACACATGTCCCCTTGTTGAGCTGACCAAGAAAGGTGTCCCCTTCTAATTCCATGGTGAACACAGAGAAGCCATGGAATATCTACACCAGGCTATCATCTCATCTCCTGCGCTATGTACTATTGACTACAATTCCAAAAGGAAGGTCATTCTAGTGGTTGACACTTCAAATATCACTGTAGGATACCTCCTCATGCAGGAGGGGGAAGATGAAAAATGTTACCCCACAAGGTTCAGCTCAATAACTCTCAATGACTGTGAGCACTGCTACAGCCAAGCTAAACTGGAGCTCTTTGGTCTTTTCTGCACCTTACACAATGTCAGACTACACATCTTTGGCATGCAGAATTTAGTTGTTGAGGTTGATGCACAGTATATCAAGGGGATGATTAACAGTCCCAATTTACAGCCCAATGCAACCATCAATCACTGGATTTCCAGAATTCTTCTATTTGACTTTGAGCTCATACATGTTCCAGCACACAAGCACACAGTGCCAGACAGACTTTTGAGGAGGCTGAGAGCAGAAGAGGATGAGGAGGGAGACAAAGACTATGAGGATTGGATAGATGAGTGTGGGGCTTTCACAGTCAAGCTCTTAAATCGTAGGGAAGTGTGTTTCGAGTCTCAACCTTACCCCTTGGGAATTTTGAGCATTGTGCCAGACTCATCTCACACCCTGTCACAGAGTCTAGGTATCTTTACTGCTGAGGAATCGATGCCTGGAATCCTTGAGACTGAAATTCCAAGGTCAGAAAAAGTGATCCAGAAAGAGGAGAAGTTAAAAGTGGTGAAGGAGTTTTTAGAGATGAGGAAGGTGCCAGAAGGATTGGAGGAAGGGGAATTGGAGAGCCTAGTATGTCTCGCCACATGGTATTTTGTCAAAGGAGGAAAGCTGTGGAGAAAAGAGCCTCAAGGATGTCACCAACTAGTAGTTGCCCCACACAAATGACTCAGGATCCTTCATCAGGCTCATGACAAGCTAGGACACAAGGGTGTCTACTTGACCCACATGCATTTGATTATTTGTTTCTGGTGGCCTATGCTAGAGCAGGACGTCTGCTGGTATGTCAAGTTGTGCCATGAGTGCCAAATACACCATTTGGATCATGTACATATTCCCCCAGTCATTGCCATCCCCAAGCCCCTATTCTTTAAAGCATATATGGACATGTTCTTAATGCTGAAGTTGAACAGATTTTGCTATGTCACCCAAGCTCACTGTTTGCTCACTAGCTATCCAGAGTGGGCTATGCTTTGTGCAGAAACTGGCAAGACCATTGGAAAATTCATCTTTGAACAGATCTTGTGCCACTGGGGTGCAGTCATGGAGATTGTTACAGATAATGGTGGACCCTATGTCCTCACCCTCAACTGGCTTTCCAAGACCTTCAGAATTTGCCACATACGTATCTCCCCCTATAACTCACAAGCTAACAGAGTTGTTGAGTGACAGTATTTTGATGTGAGGGAGGCATTGGTGAAAAGTTGTGGAGGAGAGGTGTCAAAGTGGTCAGAAGTTGCCCCTGCAGTATTCTGGGCAGAGAGGGTTACGATTCACAAGGCAACTGGGTTTTCTCCATTCTACATGGCTCACAGCATCAAACCTAGACTCCCTTTTGACCTTGCTGAGGTGACATTCTTAGCCCCTTTCGAGGCAGAATTTTTCTTGATGTCAGAACTCATTGCTCACCATGCTTGTCAACTTCAGAAATGCCCAGAAGACCTTGCCTGCATTCATGACCTAGTGCTTAAATCCCACTTCACCTCTGTCAAAGATTTCATCACTCACTTCAAATGTACAATCAAAGACTTTGACTTTGAACCAGGGTCACTTGTCCTTGTGCAGAATTCACATATTGAGCAAGAGCTCAATTGCAAGACCAAACCATGGTACCTAGGCCCAATGATTGTCATCTGCCACACCAAAGGAGGCTCATACATCCTGGTGGAATTAGATGGTGCCATGTCCAAATTCCATTTTGCCACCTTCCATCTTTACCCCTATTTCCTGCAGAACACCTCTCATAATGAAGTCACCCAGTTGCCTGGAATTTCTGCATGTGACTTAGATTGCCTGGAAGACAATTCACTACCATCCCTGAGGATGAGTCAGATGAGTAGCATATCTCTCTCTACCCTTTTTGTTTCTTTTCTTTTCCCTCTCTTTTTTTTCCATCTTTCTTTCCACTTATATATATGTCTGTCTTTGTCTCATATAAAGCAAAAACCATCTCTGCTCACAAGAAGGGAGTCAAAAAAAAAAAATCTGCAACACTTCTTCCTTCAGAAGTCTTACTTTTCCTTTCCTTCATGAAAACCTCTTACAAATTTGGAGCATATGAGTACTAGCCTACAAGTGTCAAAAAAAAAAAAATTCCACAGACTCTAGTACACTGTTTACAGGTCCTGGAGATCATCCTTCAGCCTTTGCAGCTCCTCCCATCTAGCCTGCACAGTCTCAATCCAATGTGTTACCCATCTTGCCAACATCTCCAGCAGCCAGTAGACCTGCTCCAGCTCAAATTCCTTGTCCTTGGCCCTCACCTCAAGCACTCACAGACACTCAACAATGTTCACTGTTGACCACTTGCATGGGTATTTGACCTCCAGAGTTTCCACAGCTGATGGAGTGTTGCCCTGGGCCATCACTTCAACATCTCCAGGTTCATCCAGTAAACTGGTCATGGTCACAAAAAATGGTTCAATCTCAACTTGTGGTTCATCAATCAGAAATGACACTTGAGGATCATCAACAGCAACTGGTGAGGGCTTGAATGAAGGTCCAGGCATTGGAGTGGCTCTGCCAAAAAAGAGATGGGGTGTTGGTGAAGGATTACAAGGTGAAGGGGCTGGATCTGGTGAAGGCAAGCATGTGGGGGTCAGATCAGGCTGCTGTTTTCAAGCTGGAATTTTTAGAGTAAGCTTCTTGGCAGGCTCGGTCACAGATTCTGCTGGGGCCAACTTTGAGGTCATAAATGATTTGACTTGTTTGTGGGATGGCCCTGCCTCCCCAATGGTACTGGAGTTCTTTCACTGAAGGTGGTGTCAACTTGTTCCCTTGTGGAATTTTGCCTGTGCAGTACTCACCTTTCTCCCTATGCCTCAAGAGCACAAGCACTTGTGTTTTGCCTTCCTGCACCATTTGCAGGATGCCTCTGGCTCCCTGACACACATGAAGTTCACCTGGGCACATGTCTCACAGGGCTCATTGTCCCCAGCTGCATGAGGTCCCTTTGTGGATGGACCTGGTTTGCCATTGCCCTTGTCATTGTCAATGTCATCAGCCAGCTCATCCTCCTTGCTGGTGGCTTGCAGAGTTTTTGTTGAAGTCAGCATGTGTGCTTGGAGTTGTCAAGGATGTAGAGCACACCTTCTGCTTCCCTTTTTTCTTGCTTGCACTACCAGGGCCCTCCCCTGTTGAGCATGCAACTCCTCTTGATGGGTTTCCTTTGGTATCTTCTGGTGTGCAGTCTTGGCCCTCACCTCTTGCTGCTTGGCCCCAGGTGCACATGGATGGTGCCTTGGCTAACCTCTTGGCCTCCAACCATGCTCTCTCCTCTACCTGCTCCTGGTAGTCCTCAAAAAGGTCATTGATGTTGAACCTACACTGCCCTTCTGGCTGCTGGAGATCTGCTATTGCTATTGCTGTGGGGATTGCCTCATTTTTCTGTATCGCAGATTCTTCAGTCATGTCACATAGGTTGGCATTGTGCACCTTAAGGATAGAGATCTTGTTCTCATTGACATACTTCCACCATGAGTAGATCCCAGCCTGGGGATTGGTCAGCACATTGTGTTGCATGGGTCTCTAGTGCACTCACCCAGGTCTGGTCCCAGTCCTCTGCCCACTCATATATTGCCTCCAAGCTCTCTTCAGGCTGTGGTGCTGTGTTGATTAGCACCCTAACATGCCTTAACACTGCTGACAGTGAGGTGATGGCCTGGTCCCTCATGCTGCAAACTGGTTGCACATTGTGGATTGAGTAGGCTTGCATGGCGAAGGTTGGGTATGGGCTTGGTGGTGGATGTGGGTGTAGCTGGGGCATGGATGTTTGACAAGTGGTGAGACACCTTCTGAGCACATTTAAATTCCACAGGGCCATCTCATACAATGCAGAATTTCCCTCTGCATGAGGCAGAATTCTGACCATGCACCATCATTGTTACATAACATCTGCTGATGTTCCATGCTTGTCTCTGTCATGTCTCAGTTCAGTCTGACTGAGGATGGTCAGCATTCAAAGTCCCTGGGAGGTGTAGGGAGCTGTATACTCCCTGAGGCTGGAACAGGAATCTGTCACTTAATTCCACAGGCCTCTATGACAAACCCATTTCAGAATTTTTCCCACTTGTGTCCTCATGTTTCCTCCTGACCCCTGTCACCTTCAGAGTTTCTACCAACCTTCAGCATGTCACCCAGTCATCAAAACACTGATCCAGAAAGTCCACATTCGCACAGAGTCACCTGGAATTCAGCAGCTGTGCCACCACTCAGCCATGTCACCAGTCATCCATGCCACTTACCTCTAATAAACTCCAGTTTCCCCTGTTGCCCTAAATTCTGCAAGCTGGACTTTGTGCCAGTACACTACACTCTGCCCTCCTGTGCCACTCAGCTCCACCTCCCACTTGTATGCATACTCTCATTCTGTTGGAAGATACCCCTTACCATTGTCCTGTTCTTACTCTTGTCTACTACCCACTGGACTATTTCATGTGCATCTGTACTTTGCTGATGTCTGACATCCTTTCCTTTATTTTCTGGTCTTTTAGTTTCTCCACCCCACCTTACTCCAACTCATACCTACTTCCCTTGTACTATATAATTCCACCATGATGTTGGAAATATACCACCCATCTTTTGGAGTCACTATCCAAGTCATTTGTGTGTCTAAGTGTTCAAAGTGTCTGCCATGTACTCTGCATCTACTGTGTCTTCTGTGTTTCTGTGTCTCACCTCCATGTCTCATGAGTCTTGGAATTACTTCTTCATGCCAAGGTTGTAACTTGGAATTTTGTATACAAGTCTACTCATTCCCAATTCACCTACATCTCTGTGGAATTAAATTCTGTGCCCCATATTTGACTCCTCAATCAACCCTACCACTGTATTCTACATCTCCTTCCTACTCAGCACCCCTTGGGTCAAGCCTAGGGATTGCCCTACAGCTTTCCCCCCAGCAGATGTGCATAGTCTTTCCCCAGATCTTGACTCTGAAGGAAGCAATATGGGTTACCTAATCTCCTGTCCTGCCCTTGTAGCTTCTTGACTCCCAGGGTCTTGTGATTTTGCATGTCAGGATCTTGTACTTCTGTGCAACTGCAGGATAAATTATATTTGTTTTGGTGCCCAAGTCAAGAATGGTTTGGATGGTAGTGTTTTTGTGATCAACAAGGTAAGCAAAACCAGTGATAGAAGTGATTGACATATCTTGTTCATAATCATACACTTTCTCAGTTCCTATCTTAACCTCTACTTTCTGCAACACTATAGGCTCTCTTCCTGATGCTACACCAGGAGAGCCTTTCAAAAATCTGGGTTTCCTTTTGGTCCCCCATCATCTGTAGGTTCATCATTCTCCCCACTGTATTTATCTTCCAGTTCTTGGTCTTTTTCATCTTCTGGTTCTTTTTCAAATTCCTCAAGCATTGCTAGGATGTGAGTGCAGAACTTCTGGGCTGAGGAAGACCTATTGTTTGTTGCAGATGAGGGGCACTTTGATTTCATGTGCCCTGTCTTACTACATCCATAACAGGTAGGAGCTTTGCTCTGTGATCAGACCTTTGACTTCTGATCAACATCCATAGTGTAAGGGTCTCAATACAGGGTCTTTGGAGGTGAATGGGACTTTGATCTGTGAGAAGATTGTTCTTGTGTCCAAAGATAGGAGTGGTCTTGGTAGATTGCCTTTCCAGAGAAGACCTTGAGTGTAGCCATCACTGCATGAGCCATGGTTGCTTGGCAGATCCAGTCTTTGATGGTGTCTGGCTTGGGGCCAGCCATAAGGATCCATTTGTTAATCTCCTCATTAAGGCCTTTGCCAAAGAAGCCTGCTGCAGTCAAATCTTCAGTAGGTATCTGGGCCTTGTTGAGGCAGTTGCAGAAGTTGGTGATGTACTTGTCAAGGGAATGGTCTCCTTGTTGGATGGTGGAGAGGTAAATTAAGGTGGTAGATTTTGCATCTCCTACTTGGAAGGTTTCTTTGAGTTTTGCAACAAACTTGTCCCAACCATTGAATATTCTGAGATCCCCAAGTGCAGTAGTGTTTTCATTGACATAGGCTTCTGCAAAGGCACAAGCCAAGCCACTCCCCATGTATGAGAGGGCAAATGTGATCTTTGACTGATCTTCATAGTAGATATGTTCATTGGTGGCAAGGTAGAGCTTGACACTGCTTAACCAGGCAGAAAAGTCCTGGTGAGCTCCAGTATACATGAAGGGCTTGTTGAGGCCAATTTCCTTCAGCCCCCCTCCCTTAGAGTTGTGTTCCTTTCTTTTCCCCTCAGAACCTCAGGAGGGGCCCTTAGGCCTTACCACATCTCTGCCAAAGAGGATTTTGTAGAATTCAGCAGCCATTTTGGCTGTTACCCTACTTTGTCTGTTAAATGGGTCCTGGATGTTTAGTCCAGAGGTAGTTTGTGCAAGTTCTTCTGCCATCAGGTTGGTAGAAGTCAGTAAGTATATGTCAGTAGACAAAGAGGATGAGCAGTCCACTGGTCCAGCTGTCCCTTGATGTTGGGTTTCAATATCTGAGCCAAAAGGTTTCAGGTCTTGATAAGAAGTAAAATTTACTGGTGAGGTCAATTCTGCCACTTGCCCAAGTTGGGGCCTTACAGGCAGGTCTTCAAGACCTATATGAAGGTTTGGAGTTTGCACTGAAGGATGACAAATAAGGGGTTTTGCTTGGAGAACCTCTTTTCCTTTGCATGATGGTATGGGAGGTTTAAACAAAGAGGCTGCTGATGGAGGCCTCTTACTTCCTTCTTCTTGGTGTGAAGACATGTTGATGAGGAGGAAGGTTAATGCCAAGAGTTAGGGGCTAGCTCACTGGTTAACACTGGTGGTTCCTGAGGTAGTGGCATGAGTTCCTATCTTGGCAGTGCAAGTCATAGTGAGTCACTGCACAGCAGGACTACACATATAACCACATCTGCAGAGCAGGAGGGACCAGGGGTAGACATATTATGTAGGAAGGGTAACTGCATATATATGATGTGCAGGGGTAAATGAGTACCAGGGGTACACATGTCACATGACTGCATGGATCAGGGCCACCAGTGGATCATGGAAGGAAGGGTGAACAGATGCAGTCTGGCTATAGTACAATGTGGGGTAAACAGGGGTGAGGGCATGAAAGGAAACATACAGAACATGAGGTCAACTGTCTAAGCAGTGGCTTGTGGGTGACAGAACATCATCACTTGAAAGTGTGACAAGCATGAAATGTATTGTACAAAGTCTAGAAAGGAAAGAATGTGAGCATAGCATAACACAGAGCCTGCTAGCAACATGAGACTGACATAGTATGACCAGGTACTACCTCTGTATGATACATACCATATGATCTTTTTGGTGCAAATCTACTGACTCATATCTGGCCACATTGAGTCATGCCCTCATTGACTTTGCTCAATATCAGTGCATGTGACCTGGTGTGACATGATATTACTTAGTGGTATCAGGCCATATTCACACTGGCACTGTGCTGCCTGCTTGAAAATGATGTGGTATGATATTGTGTGACATTGTATTACATTCTACTGGGTGGGGGACTAATACATGTGACTTGGTTTGGATGCAGGGGATGCTATGCTAGAGTACAATATGTGTGTCTGAAGTGTAGAAATATCTGTAGGCTACCTCAGTAGTGAACATACTACTGATATATTGGATATACCTGTAGGCTACTACAGGATGTCAGTATAGTAGAATACTTGTAATATGAATGGACTTACCCTCAGTAGTGAACAAACTACTGAGGGAATACTAGTAGGAAATACTACAAGTATGTGCGCTTTTTGTGCTTATGTAAGCACACTAGCATCGCACCTAAGTACCAACAAACAGTGGCACTTTATGTTCCAACATGAAGGGGCATACAATGCAGACACATGGTGTCACACACCAAAGGTGTTTGTTGGCAGTCATCAATCTCTTTGAGATGTGACATGCACAGCCTCCCCCTTCCAGTGCACTTACTCAGTTGCTGACAATGTTTGACTCATACTTTGAAGTTCTGACTGTCCTTGACTTGCTTTTTGGCTTACTTATCCTTACCAATGCTCACCAATGCTTTCTAAGATGATTACCCATCACTTACATTCCTTACTTATCACTTACCAATCACTTACCAAGTGTTTGCACCTTGTTTTCCATAGGCAATGCTCTTGTACTGTATATAAGTCACTGTACTTAGATAGCTAAAAAAAGAAGACATCAGAGAGCCCCTCTTGCTCACATTTCATCATCACTCAGTAAATCATTCATCAGCTTTGATAGTTGAGACTTTATTAAGGGTCTAGCTATCATCTACTTCATCTATTATTGTCTCTCATCAATCAGCTTTGCTCCAAGTCCTCCCTGAGCTCAGAACATTGAATTAAGTCATCATCTATCCTTCTGTAGGCTGATAGCAGTCTACCCCATTGCAATCTCTCACATTCCTGCTCCTTTGTCAGGAGCACCCAAAATCCTCAGCACTCATCTTTGAGTTTTGTAGCTCACAAAAAACTGCCCAAATAGAAGGTTCCACCAGCTAGGTACTGCATAGGCACACCACCACTTGCTCTTATTGTCTTTTGTGTTGGTTTTGGTTGGTTTTCACCACTGAACCACACTTTGACTCACAATGGGCAGATGATGGTGCTCCAAATAATTGAATAGTAGGCAGAATTGGTGATGCCAATGTGACACAATCAAGATAAGTCAAATAATAAGCCATATCAATGATTCCAGTGGATGGAAATAATGATGTGATGTGATGTGGTTTGATGTGATGTGATTTCATGTGAAGTGGGTCTCAATACAAAAAAGTGCCTAGGTATG